CTGCTTGATCCGGATGATGCCCTCTACATCTGACTTAGTGAGAAACACATTCTTGGCGCCGTTTTGGCGCCGTTCTAAGGCATAAAGGATGACAGGTTGGTTCATAATTTTAAATTTGCGGCAGCTGCGGGGTGCGGGAGGGGAGAAATAGAAGCCTTAGAGACTCTGAAAGGCGAAGGAAAGGGAGGGATCGCGGGAGAGAGCGTGCCTGATGAGCCAGACGAATCGGGGGAGGTGCCACATCAGCGGGCAACACATGAGAGGCGTGCTGTGGAGGCTGTGCGCTCCTGGAGACACCGCGGAGCTTGTGTTGTCTGTGGTGCTTCACTGTGAGCTGCCAGCTGCCCTACACCAATACCATCAGGGCGGTAGGGGGGCCCACATCAAAACATGTTTTGATCACTGATACTGTAGTATGGGCAGACAGACGTGTCCCCACGGCTCCAAGCGCAGGGCGGCAGCCCTGTTTGGAGCCTGGCTGACGCTGCTCTGCCTTGCATTGCTCCAGGTGGGCCGCCGCCGCCGCTGCCGCCGGCCTTGGCCCACCCTTGCATCACACCGCCCCAGCTCTCATTTGCTGCCCGTGGCTGACCTGAGCGACCGCTTGGCATGCATGCAGGGGTGTGGCATTTGGGGGCTGCCGCACGGCAAGCAGCCCAGGCAGGCACCAGCCTCCGGCCTGACTCCCCCGAAAATGCCGGCGGTTGGCAGCGGGAGGGGCGGTGCGAGTGGGAGCGACACCGGCCGGCTGAGCTCCCGCGTCACGTGCGCGCGTAAGCGCAGCGACGTGGCGTACATCACACCCAGGGAGGTGGACCTGCAGCAGCAGCGGCACTGCGCTCTCAAGGAGACGGGCGGCCACCCACCGGGCGGTTACCTTGCCATCTGCACGACTGTGAGAAGTGAGTGTGTCATGATCTTGGCAGGGTTTGCCAGGATTGCAGCCTGCGTGCGGTGCAGGGCAGGTGCTGGATGCTGGTTGTTGTGCTGTTCAGAGCGGCAGCAGGCGAGCGGCCCGATCCCCCGATGAGCCCACACCATCACCCGCATGCGGGCCTGTGCTGCAGACCAGCACGCCGAGCTGCCCGAGTGGCTGGACTACCACCGCCGCCTGGGCGTGTCCCACGTGTATGTCATGGACGACGCCAGCCAGCCGCCGCTGGAGGGGGTGCTGGCGCCGTACATCGAGGTGCGGGCGGGGCGGGGGCGGGGCGCCCGCTGGTCACCCTTGGGAGAAAGGTCCACACAACCGCCTGGCAGCCTGCGCTGCAACTGCCCAAGCATCTAGGTGCTGTCCTGCTGGGCCACGGCAGCAGCAACCTGTCCTCAGCCTGTACCTCCCCTGCGCCCCTGCAGGAGGGCCTGGTCACGCACCGCATGCTCAAGCGTGTGCCGGAGATGCAGGCGGAGATCCGGGAGGCGACGTGCCACGAGCCCTACATCACACACAAGCAGCTCATGGGCTACGCCTACTGCCTGATGGACTATGGAGTGCGCCACCAGTGGATGGGTGGGCAGCCCGCTGGCGTGCTCATTCCTGCTGCACGCCAGCTCCTAGCACAGGAAGGTGGTTCCACCTCGCTGTGCCCTGCCATCAACCGTCTCGTGCCGCCGCACCCCCCTTTTGCCGCAGCCTACATCGATATTGACGAGTTCTTTGTTTTCTATGACTCCACGCCCGACCTGCCCACGCTGCTACATGAATATGAGGGCTACGGCGGGCTGGCAGTCAACTGGCGCATGTTTGGCTCTAGTGGGTGACTGGCTGTGCATCCCGCCCCAAGCTGGGCCAGCCACAGACGCTCAGCTGTTGCCGAGTGCTCAGGGGGGTCCAGCCACGCGTGTGTGCACTGTGCCATGCAGGCGGGCATAAGAAGAAGCAGGGCAACACGCTGCGCGCATACACCAAGTGTTTCGCTCCAAATGTGAACTGGCTGCAGATGTTGCAGTTCACTGAGTTGCCTGTTTCCAACCTAGCACTGGGGCTGCCATGTTGCCTATGTTGGACACACCGGCATGGTGCAGCATAGCTGTGCAGTTTTCCTGCATGCTGCTGCCTGCCGCGTTGCAGCTAACAACTGGACCCGCCTGGCGCACTCTGCTGCACCCACAGAATGGGGAGAACACGCAAATCAAGACGATTGCCAACATGCAATATCTGGCCAGGATGGCAGGGCCGCATGACGCTTTCTACCCGCCAGGCCACTTCACTGGTGCGCTGCCAGGCGGGCCAGTTGGAGACTGCATATTGTATACTGCGCTATGTTGTGCACCCTAGCATCCATGCCAATGCGCCGGAGCATCCACACCAGCTTGTAGCTGACGGTGCGGCCGGCCTGCTGCTGCCGCCGCCGCCGCAGTGAACCCATCCCGGGAGCCGGTGGTTGGCCCTCTGAGCAACGGCGCAGACTACTCGCGCCTAGCCCTGCACCACTACGCCATCAAGTCCAGGGAGGATTTTGAGGAGAAGATGGCTCGGGGCGACGTGATGGGGGACCGCGGCAAGCTTCACGACTTCTGGGACCGCATAGAGGCGGGGTGCGCCATGGGGGTTGCAGGGCGGGCATGCTGCGCTGGCTGGGCCTCTGGTTTGCAGCTGGGGCTGGGGCTGATGCCCAACGTGCCCCCACCCCCACCCCTCCATGCAGGTCGGTTGACAACTGCACAGCTGGTGTGGAGATGCTGCGGCGACTACGGCGCGGCAAGGGCAAGGCCGATAAAGACTGAAGCCCCCTGCCCACCACATCCTGCAGCAATCAATCCATTTGTGAACCTTCGCCCAAGCTCGACAACCAGCACTGCTATCTCTGCTCCAAACGCTCATGCACACACACATGCTCATGCACACACACATGTTTATTCTGTCGATCTTGTTCCTCATCATGTCGCACCTACAAACGGCCAAAGTCCTTTGTGAAAGATGCACATCAGCTCAGGCACCTGCAGCAAATGCGGTTGGGCATCGGTGGCGACAGGTGGCGCAGGCGCGGTACAAATGTGCCTAGCCGCCCAGGCCACCGGCAGAGTGCATAGCCCATTTACCTCTTGTTCGCGGTGCGCCTGCAGGGCGCCCCGCAGGGCAATCACTGGGTGGCGTCCACCGCCATGGGGGCCGACGCGGCAAAGATGAGGAACAGCTACGGCGGCTTGCCATTGTTTCTTCTCTTGTCAACGGCGCTTGGCGCGTTTTCACTGCTCCAGGTCGGTGACGGCCGCACCCTGCTGCCGCCATCCGCTGCCGCCGCGCCCTGCGCCGGCTGCCTGCTCTCACCCATGCCCATTCAGTTGGCCCACATGCTGCCTACAGGACTGCCGGTACACAGTGAGACTCACAGCCCCGACGAAGCAGGCAGAGGCGCTGCCCCCTCCTTTCAGCGAGGGAGGCGGCGAGGCGGACAGCGGCGCACCCACAGCCAATGCCAGCATGTCAGTTCCTCTGACTTCCAGTGTGCCTTGCGAGCCCATCGGCATAACCCCCCCGTCGACTCTCACCGCCAGAGAGCTGGACCTGCAGCAGCAGCGGCGCTGCCTGGCGGGGCGGCCCGGCTGGCGGCCGCCGGGCGGCTACCTGGCCATCTGCCTGGCTGCAAGAAGTGAGGCGGGGCTGGCACGCGGCGCCCGCAGCCGACCTGCGCACCGCGCTCTGCGCATGGCGTGGGCTGGGTGTGGCAGGGGCAGCGCGCCGACTGCCGCCCCCGGTGCCGCCTGCAGACCAGCATGCCGAGCTGCCCGAGTGGCTGGACTACCACCGCCGCCTGGGCGTGTCCCACGTGTACGTCATGGACGACGCCAGCCAGCCGCCGCTGGGGGAAGTGCTGGCGCCATACATCGAGGTGCGGGGCGGGGCGGGGGCGGGGAGCTCACAGGGTAGGCCGCCCAGGCACGTGCAGCGTGCAGCCAGCTGTCCTGCCCGAGGGAAGCACGCCAGCTGGGCAGGCCTGGGCTGCGCAGCGTGTGCTGCAGCCCCGGCCATGCTGGGGCGGCATCTGGCTCTGGCACCCAGAGTGTGTGTGTGTGTGTGTGCAGGAGGGGTTGGTCACGCACCGCTACCTGGAGGACTATGCCGCCATCCAGCAGGAGTTGAAAGACACGACCTGCCACGATCCCCAGGCCCACCACCGCCAGATGATGATGTATGCCCTCTGCCTCCGCGACTACGGCGCAAGGCACCAGTGGATGGGTGCGGGGAGCGGGGCGGCCTGCTGTGGTGTGCATGAATCCGCAAAGCTGGCTGCTCTCCATCCCACACTCCTTCTCCCTGTGTCTCCCCTGCTGCTCTCCCTTTGCCGCAGCCTTCATCGACATTGACGAGTTCTTTGTGTTTACTGACGGCACAGATGACCTGCCCGCCCTGCTGCGTGGGTTTGAGGAGTACGGCGGGGTGGGGGTGAATTGGCGCTTCTTCGGGTCAAGTGAGCGTGGGGCGCAGGCTTTGCCCTGATCTGTGTTGCTGGCAGATCATGGAGCCGATTGGCGGGAGTGAACGGCGTAGGTGTGTGGTGCTGGTAATTCTCTCTAGCTGCTGTTGATTCGTCTCCTTGCCGGAGCAAGGGGGGGTTGATGCTGAGGACCCATGACGTGGATGCAGGCGGGCACAAGAAGCGCCAGGCCAACACCCTGACTGCCTACACCCAGTGCTACGCTGGAAACGTGAGTAGCATCATGCTGAGCTGCTGCGCTGTGGTCGCCGCCGCGTGCTTGCGCACCTTTTGGCTGTGTTTGTTGCAGTTGCCGGCTTTCCAAGTTAGGGTGTATGGCCTGGCTGCCTTGCAGGAGGAGGTGCATCGGCACATCAAGTCTGTTGTGCAGCCGCGCTTCACGGCGCGGATGGAGGGGCCGCACCATGGGGCCTTTGCCCCCGGCTACTTCGCGGTGACCACCTCTGGCAGCAGAGTGGAGGGGGCCTTTGCCAAGAAGCCCACCTACAAGCGCCTGGCGCTGCACCACTACGTCGTCAAGTCGAGGGAGGACTTTGAGGAGAAGATGGCTCGCGGGAACGTGATGGGCGAGGAGAGCCGCCAAGAGTCGTTCTGGCAACAGATAGAGAGCCAGTGCGTGCAGCCCGCTGCTGGCCGCACGTTGGGGGTTGTGTGCAGCAGGGCACACGCTGACAGCTGGCTGGCATGGGCGATATGTGGCACGCTGCTGCTGACCAACGCTGCCCTGTGATGGCTGCCGCTGCTGCTTTGCCCTTGTGCTGTGTGTTGCAGGGCTGTGAAGACGTGCTATGGTGGCAGCAAGGCGTGGCAGCGCATGTTCGGCAAGGAGCAGCAGGCAGAGGAGGAGGAGGAGCAGGGGCAGGGGATGGCAAGGAGGAGGCCAAAGGGTGGAGGAAAAGCCCGGTCCTAGCATTCTTTGTACTTCTCCAATCTGATGTTGATTTCATACATTTCATGTAAGGTACAACAGTCCAGCACATACGAAGCCTGGTTGGCAAAGGCAGTAGGGCATGAAAGCAGGCGATAGGACAGGAGTGACGCCAGGGGTGGGGCCAGTATCGTGGGTCAGGGGAACGCGCCGCGAGCGGCGAGTGGCAGCGGCCAAGCACCAAACGCGTGTCATTTCTTCTTCTTGCGCCGCCGTCGCCTCTTCCTCCTCATGTTCTGCAGCTCCTGCACGTTGGCCAGGGTGCCCGACTGTGCCAGGTCCAGGTGCGCCACCATCACCGCCACCAGCGTCACCTTGTGCCCCTCCTGCGGGAACTCGCCCGCCTCGTCCAGCACAGTCACCCGCACGCGGCACCGCCGGTGCTGCGTCACCTGCACGTGCGGCAACACACAGCATACGCACGCAAGCAGGCGTGAGCGGTGGAGCGGCGGCAGCAGCCGCAGCGGCAGCGCGCGGCGGCGGCAGCTGCTGGACGGCCCAGTGCTGGCCAGCTTGCCAGCTTGGCCATGGGGCCTGCCAGCCAATAAGCGGGCCAGCAGGCAGTGCGGCGCTCACAATGAACCTGGTCATCCAGAAGAGCGAGGCGCGCCGCTGCCACGTGCCATCCAGCTTGGCGGGGGCGCAGGTGCACCCCGACACGCACTCTATCAGCGCCGTCCCCATGCCCCTGTAGCTGCGCAGGTGGGCCAGCCACACCACGGTGTCGCCGCCCGCGCCCTCCTCCTCCGGCCGTGTGTCCAGCTCCAGCTCAGCCCAGGCGCCTGCTCCCCGGGCAGGCGGGCAGCCAAGTAAACGTCGGCGCATGGCAGCAGCAAGCCTCAAGCAGGCACCACAGCCCACGTGTATAACACATACGGTGAACCAGCCAGCAGCACAGGCGCCCCGCCAGGCCCCGCATGCCGAGCTGCGGTGCCCGCCGCCCACCTGGCTCCGTCCCGCGCCAGCCCCACTTCTGGTGCATGAAGTCTTCCGCCTTGGGCCGCTCCGGCAGGTACTCAAACCCGCTGCTGTTCTTCACCACCGGCCTGAACTCCTCCTGCACAACATGCGGGGCAGGCGCGTGGCACCGAGCGTGAGTGGCAGCAGCAGTGCTGGGCATGCGCAGCGCGTGCATGTGGGTGTGGGGCCCCAGCCCAGTGGCCGGCCTGCAGGCAGGGGCGGGGCGAGCGGCGGGGCAGGGCGGGCCCACTTGCCATCATGGCGCAGAAGCCGGGGGTGGCGTCTGCGTTGTCTGGGGTCATGGGGGCGGGCATGCGCGGCAGGCGCGGGTCCACCCTGCGGTCAGCCGTGTACACCGCCTCGCCCGCCTCCGCCTCCCACACCGCACGCACCAGCGGCTGCGCCAGCAGCTCGGCCAGAGCCTGGTGGCCCAGGTTGCCGGGGTGCATCCTGGGAGGCGCAGCAGGTGGCCAGGCAGCAGAGGGTGGATGGCTGGTCAGAGATGGATACCAAGCTGCGGCCTGCCAACCGGCCCGCCAGGCACGCCCCAGCGCCGGCCGGCGTGCATGGCCGCCTGGTTGGGCGCACGGACAGGCGGGGGGCGCAGCCGCCCGCCACCTACCCGTCGACAAGGAAGAAAGGATCCAAGCCCTCTGCGGGGTGCGACACGGGGATTGTTCCCATGATGACGGTCCCGTTGTCGGCCAAGTAGCGGTGCAGCCTGCCTGCCATGGGCACCTTGTCAACCTGCGCCACGGCAGGACACCCACAATGCATCGTCCAATGCTGCGCGGCAGCCACAGCAGCCAGGTGCGGGCCTGCGCCACTGCCTGGCCCAGCTTCCAAGGTGTGGCCCCCCCAGCCAGCACCACACGCCGGCCACCCTGGCCACGCAAGCAGTTTGGCGCACCCTGAAGCGGTCTATGTTTGCTGCCATCAGGTGGTATGCGGCCGCCCGGATGGAGAGCGTGGGTATGTCGTAATACTGCAACAGGGGGGCACGGCGGGTGTGGTCCAGGGTGGGGGGCAGGTGTGCGGCACAGGGCAGAGCCTTTGCAGCCTGGCCTGCCCGCCCGGCCTGCCGGCGGCCTGCGCACATGTGCCAGCTCCGTCAGCTGGCCCTCTGGCTGGTGGTAGAACACGCCGCGGTCCAGGCCGTCGCCGGGCGACTCCCACCACGCATAGTGGTGCAGCATGATGATGGCTGGCCGGCTGGGGTACTGCAGCAGCCTGCGCAGCAGCTGCTCAAAGTTGCGGCGCTCTGGCGAAGTGAACTGCGCCTCGCTCCTCTCGTTGACCGAAAACTCCAGCGTCACTGCAGCGGCGTGGGCGGCACGGCATCGTGGCGGCAGCCTGGGCCCACAGCACACCGACACCAAGGCACGTCGAGGCAAAGAGGAGGTGAGCCTGGCCACCACATGCATGACTGCACATGCATGACTGCACATGTGACTGTTGGGAGGCAGCTGCATGCACACGGCTGCTTCAAGCCGCCTGGCGATCAGCAGCAGTCACCTAAATCCACATCCTGCAACATGTGGTAGCGCCCAAGCATGACACTCAGCAGGAAAGGCGGCACCGGGTCTGGGCCATGCCGGGGGGGGGCAAGCCGGCAGGAGGAGGCTCCGCCCGCCATGCGCAAGCACATGTGTTGCTGGCGCGTGCGGCAGCCCACCTCGGGGACGTGGTGTTTCAAGCAGGTGGCATACAGGAAGGCTGTGGAGGCCGCGATGGCTTTGTTCACAAACACATGGTCCCTGCAGCACACAAGCAGAGGAGAGCGGCTGAGCTGGGCACGCCGCCGGCTCTGGACATCAACAGCGTCCAGGCCAGCGCGCTGCAACCCATGGCCGCACGCTCCTCCCCACCCGGGACATAGTACTCCGCATCGCCCTGCTGGGCAGGCTTGCCTGTGCGGGAAGGCCTGCTGTATGAAGCTGAAGAAGAGGTCCACATAGCTGCCGCCCTTCCTGCTGGCCCCGCCGCCGCCCGTCACGCTGCAGCCCCCAACAGCGGGCACAACAATGGACACAGCTTGGCATCGCCAGGAGCACATGGGCACATGCCAGCAGCAGCAGCGGGCTCACACCACAGGCAAGGCGAGCAGAGCTGCGGCCTGGCCCAGCCAAAGCCGATCGCATCGGCCCCAGAGCAGCCCCCAGCAGGCAGGCAGGCAGGCAGGCAGGCAGGCAGGTGCACCTGCCACCCAGCGTGTAGACCTTGATGGGCTTGCCCGCCAGCAGCTTGTTGGCCAGGCGGTTGAGCCTGCCGCCGCTGCCATAGTAAGTCTCCCCACGCCGCAGCTCCTCCTTGGTCAGCACCGGCTCCCAAGGCAGCTTCAGCCGCTTCTGAGGGCACGAACGCAAGCACGCATGTTGGCAGGACATGCTGGGGTTGGTCCAGGCTGAGGAGCAGGTGCGAGGATGCAGGGCGGAGGCCGGCGGTGGCGGCTGCCACCAACAGATCAGCTGCGGGACCCCACCGCTACCGCACGCACCGGTGGGGGCGGGACAGGTGGCGGCGCTGGCATCGTCGGGAGCACCATGGAGCGATCGCAGCGGAAGCTGCCTGCAAGTGGGCAAGTGGCAACAGAGCAGCAGGGGGGTGGCAGTGAAGCAAAGGCCCATGTGCCTGCTGCCCCACCGCTGAACCGACGCCCGCCAGCTGCAACGCGCCGCAGGAAGCAGGGCCCCGGGGAGAAGCCGCAAGTTATGAAGAGAGTCAACAGCCCTTGCTGCGCTTTGCAAAAGCGCTGTTTGACACAGAAGAGCCAACCACTCGGCGCTCACCAGGCCCGAGCACAAGAGCAGGCGCCCCCGTGATCAGCGCGCCAATGCCGATGACCAGACAGACGCATATAAGCTGCGCCTGCGATACCAGCGGCTTGCGGCTGCCGGGGCGGCCGGTGCTGCCTAAAGGGCCCTCATACACCGGCTCCGCCTCTGTCATCGTGCCAAAATTTGAACAATTTGAAAGTGGAGTTAAGGAGGGGCCTTCCAGGATGACAGGCCGAGATCCAGACAGGCCCGGTGGCGCCAGGCGGGCGGCGGCGGCGTGATGAGCACTCATTCACTCTTCTGGCCACCCAATTGCATCTGAGCTGACAACATTCTACTGATCAAGCTGATGCCTGTTGGTACAAGCAGTGCTGTGTCTTTGAGCTCATCTTCTATTCCTACCGCCTCCAGGCTGTCCGTTCAAAACCATGCAATGCATTGAAGGTGGGTATGGCTCGGGGGGATTCAGACGGGCCTGCATTCATGGTACATGCTGCAGCTGCATCCATGCATGGATTCCCTTCTGCCAATGGAACTCATCATTGCAGCTCTTTGATGCAAGATTGCCACCGCACTCACGGCGGGCATCAGCGGCTCGCTGGTTTCCTGTCGGGAGCTTGGCAACTGTGCCCTCTTACATTATAATTGGCCAGACAGTACATCAGGTGTATCCATCAGCATTACATGAACATAAACGTCACCATGGGAGAGGGAGTGTGCCATTGCGCTACATGCACCTGCATGGCGGGCGGAGGCCGCCCATCTGGCGGTGACGAGACGCGCCTGGAGGAGATGATCCCTCTTGAGCTCGGCGCATCATCTTTCCTTCTGCACATTGTCCAGTCCAGTCTGCACGTTCCCTTGTGCAATCGTGCTTCAGATAGCATCACCCCCCGGTGTCGCAGAGCGAAGGACCCGAACGATGGCGGCCGCTATGGTGCAGACCAAGCTGCCATGCACTTCTCAGGCACGATGGCAGGCGGCGGGAGGCAAATGGAGGAGTGCGGGAGTCTCGGCTGGCCGGCTCCCCTCACCACACCGTGCACCACACTGACTCGTCCAGCCAGCCCGCCTGATCTCTGCCGCAGTGCTTCAAGCCGATGCGCAGCATGGCGACGCCGGGCAGGGTGTTTTGTGCAGCGGCGCCGCGGGCCATGGGGTCGGCGGCGAAGCAGGCAGCGGGCGCGCTCGTGGGCGTGGCGGCTGCGGCCGCCCTGCTGCTGCCCGCCATGCCTGCCCTTGCAGTCTCCGGCGGTGGCGGTGCGTCCCGTCAGGGATCAGGGCATGCCCTGGGTGCACGTTGGCCAGCTGTGCATGGGCAGAGGAAGGCGCAGCGCTCGGCTCACAACCACCCACACGCCGCTGCCCTTAGCTGGCTTACCGCATGCCTCCATCCCCTCTGGCCCTGCCCGCAGGCAGCGGCAACAGCCTGGCCTTCCAGGACCTGTCTGGCCAGGACCTGCGCAAGAACAAGTACACCAAGGCCGACCTGCGTGGCACCAACCTCAGGTGCGGCGGGGGGCGGGGCGGGAGCACGGTGCAGGAGCCGCCCATCACAGCAGCCAGGCAGGAATGCAATGCAACAGGAAGCAGGAAGGGACGTGGGGACCTTGCGGGCCAGCCAGAGCACTGCGTGCGCCACATGCATCTCCTGAGCATGGGGCCCCTGCTCCGCCACCACCCCGGCTGCCTGCAGCAATGCCAACCTCGAGGGAGTCACCCTTTTTGGCGCCCTTGCAACCAACGTCCGTGCACTCTTTGCCTTGTCACACATTGCATTCCGCTGCTGGTGACACCATGCATCGGCCGCACATGATGAATAGGCGGTTGGGAGGGCAGTCTGCCATGGGCATCGAACCGCTGCGCCGATGTTATTGCAGGCCAACTTCTCTGGAGCCAACTTGCGCAACGCCGACCTGGAGTTGGTGCGTACCACGCCTGCGCCAGTGCCGTGCAGGAATGCCTTGCGCTTTGCCGATGGGTGTCGCTGGTTCCAACCCCACCAGTTCTGCTGATGCCCTCGCCTGTCTGCAGGTTGAGCTAGAGGGGGCAGATTTGAGCAACGGTGAGTCTCCCTGTCTGTCTGTTTCATAGCATCTGGCATACATGACGAGATGCAGTACCACCCACTCACCTCTTACTTGCAATACCTGCTGCAGCAGTCCTGGAAGGCGCCATGGTGGGCCGGAGGGGAGGGGCCGTGGGCTGCAGGGCAGGGTTGTTGGTGCAACCAGCTGGCAGCATGCAGTGGTGCCCTAGCCTGGTACTTTGTTGCGTGGACAGACTTGTGTGCCCTCCGGTTGGGCTGCGGCCTGGCCTGCCTTGCGGCTCGAGAGCCTGGCGGCATGGAACAGGCAAGCATCGTGCCAGATCATCCCTCACCCCCCTGTGTTGCAGCTGACCAACGCGCAGCTAGGACGGGTGAAAAGCATCACGGGCGCCGACTTCACCGATGTTGTGTTCCGCAAGGATGTGATGATGGGGCTGTGCAGAATTGCAGGTGCGACAGAGGCCGGAGGCGATCCCCTTATACGCGGTACCAGGCACTGATGCATGCCCCCTTCGGTCCCGCTGTGCAGATGGAGTGAACCCCACCACTGGCGTTGCAACGCGGGACAGCCTGTACTGCCCATGAGATGATGCAGCTTGTTCGACGGAGAGGAGCGACCGTGGCCCGGTGTATTTACCGTGAGGGGCCTTTTTCTATTCAGCACCGATCCATGTTGGGCAATTTTTTGCAGTGTTTTTGACTTTATGTAAATCAGAGATGAGCATATTGACATCAGAGCATGCATTTTGCTACACCACGGCCGTGGTGTCAACCGCGGTTGATGCTCGGGCCTCCCACCGACTGGCCCCACGCGCCGCCGTGGCGCACATACATGCCAGGGTGGACGATGTGGATTATGAGAGCCTGCGGCCCCGATCGCAATCCCTGGCCCTTGATTTCCTCGCCAGAAGGCCAACCCACTCGGCCTGGCCCAGTGGAACCCTGCGCACTTCCCACCGTCCTGCGTCCAAGCATCTCGCGATCAGCAGCAGATGGCTGCAAGCCTGCGAGGGCAAACAGCGCCCTGCTGCTCGCCCACCGCGCCGCGCCGCGCCCTGGCGTTCAGTAGGAGAAGTTGTGGCAGCGCAGCGGGACAGGCGCGCACATCTCGCTTCCACTTTAGAGCCACCTCAGAACAGCAGCAGGAACAGCAGCAGGGATCGCAGCAGGCTCCGCCGCCGCCGCGCCGCCCGCGCCAGCAGGAGGGTGCCGTCTCCGAGTTGTTCACACCCCAGGCGATCCTCAACTATGACGGCCATATAGAACGGGCCAAGGAGTTCATGGAGCAGGCAGAAGCCAGCCTCAAGGTGAGGAGCAGCAGAACAGGAGGCTCACGGTGCCGGGCCTGGCCACCGTGTGCCGCTCCCGCCATCCAAGCCTCCCGCCCCTCCCATGCTTCACACTTGCTGCAGGACGTGGACAGCCAGATCAGCGAGATGCGGCAGGACATGGAGGTGCCCGCGTGGGCGGTGGGCTTCCTGCGCTGGGCGCGCGGCTTCCACTGTCAGACTCTGGAGGAGGCGCGGAAGCGGCACGCCAGCCTGGTGGCCAAGCGAGAGCGGTACGTGGCGGGGCTGCGCCAGCTGGAGCGCGAGCTGCAGGAGCAGCCGCCCATGTTCCCGCCCGACGAGGGCACCGCCGACTGGGTGGTGCTGGCGGGCTACAACTGGGCCATTGGGCAGGAGGACGACAGCAGCGAGGGCCTGCAGAAGGTGCTGCGCGAGTCGCTGGAGCAGGCCAACAGCCCCAGTGAGTGGCGCCGTGCCCCCCCCCATATTTATATGTACTGTACGCACGCCTGCCCCTTGTGTGCCATGCGGTGCGTCGGGCAGCACACGCACAGAGATGGTTATCGGGCAGGGTGCTGGCGTGAGGGGCCCACCCCGGCGCCTGCCCCTGACGCCGTGCCCCGTGCCTGCCTGCCATGCCCGCAGACAGCGTGCTGTGGGTGACGCTGGTGGTGTGCATGGGGGCGGCGTATGGGGTGGCGTGGGCGGGGTCATGGTGGGATGTGGATGCCTACCGCCTGCTGCACCAGTTCCCAGACCTCGCTGCCTCGGCGCCCACCTGGGTGGCATGGACGGCGCCATACGTGGGAGGCACCCTGCTGGCCTACTCGCTGGCGCCGCCCCTGTTCAACAAGAGGTGTACCGGCTGGGGACAGAGGGGCAGGGGCTGGATGGGGACAGAGGGCGCAGGGGCTGCGAGGCATGCGGGAGGCGGCTGCTGCCGATGCCGATGCCGCGCCCCACGCTGCGGCTCCCTCCCTCTCTCCCTCCCTGCCCTGCCGCAGCATCTTCCGGGTGCTGGCCACCGACCAGCAGCAGTTCTTCCACTCCGTCTCGCCCCCCAGCTTCCTGCTCGGCGCCTTTGTCATCGCCTTCAGCCAGTGCCTGGTGTGGCAGGTGAGGCGCGCCCGCGGCCGGCGCCGGCGCCGCGGGACGAGCCCCTCTCGCTTGCGCTCGCCGCGCCGCCGCTCGCACCATTGGCGGCCTGCCCATGCACCGCGTGCAGCCGGGTTCTTCAGGCCCCTGCCTCCGCCGCCTGCGCCCCCTGCAGGGCCTGTGGCAGGACGTGTTCACGGGCTGGCTGGGCGGCAGCCGCGACGCGCTGCTGCTCACTGACCCCGCGGCCCTGGAGGATGGGGTGCGGGCTAGCATGGGCACGCTGGTGGGCGCCCCGCTCCTTCCCGCCTTCCTGGTGGCGCCCAGCGCCTCCCTGCTGGTGGGCCTGCTGGAGGGAGGCTACTTCTGGGCCATGCTGACGGCGATGGACGCCACCACGATGTGCGCGCTGTGCGGTGGGGCCAGCGCGCGCGCCTGCGTCGCCTGCATCGCCTGCGTCGCCTGCCCGCCGCCGTGGCGCCCGCCCTCCGGCGGGTGCGCGTGTCGGGCCCGTGTGCCTGCTCGCCTCCCACCCGCCGCACCCCGCCCACCTCCGCTCCCCGCTCCCCGCCGCCGCGTGTGCCGCCGTCTGCAGGATGAAGGTGGACACCAGCGATGGCTGGAGGGCCACGCTGGTGGCCGACATCAAGCCCAGCGTGCTGAGCCAGGAGGAGCTGACGCTGGTGGCGGCGCGCGTGGCGCTGGCAGGGTCGTACCTCGCCCTGGAGGCCACCCTGACCGGCAGCCTGTGGCTGTCGGTGGGCACCAGCATGGCCGGCCTGCTGACCGTCATCCTGCTCAGCCGCCGCGGCGCAGGGCCCTAGCCCTAGCCCACCCACGCAGCCCCGCCGCGGCAGCCGGTGCGGCCCGGCCTGGCGGCATGTCTTTTGTATCCTCACACGCTCCGCTGCCAGATTGAATCACCCGCCTCCCCCCAGCGCGCCGCTCGTCCCCTGGTTCTGGTTAACAGTACCTAATGACCGGCTCGGAAAACGAACCTCACTTCATGTAATCTCCAGACGCAGCAGTGGCAGCGCAGGCCGCGCAGGCGCAGCGCGTGCCGCCTGGCGGCGGGCTGCCCCGCCGGGCCCGCTACCGCGCCTGCTCGCCGCTGCCGCCGCCGCCGCCGTCTGCGGCCGGGCCTGGCGCGGCGGGCGGCACCTCTGGCACCGCGCCCAGCACCTCGCCAAGCTCCCGCTCAAACATGACCTTGGCCCGGTTGGTGGAGCCGCCCACCATCACGCCGCTGCCCGCCTGCGCGGCCCACACCTGGGAGTGCGACAGGTAGCTGACCACAGTCGTGATGCACAGGCCTGCGCTCCAGGAGGGGATGGGCGGGGGGACAGCGGTGGCGGTGGAAACAGAGGCGCGCGGCCGCGGGCAGCGCAGGGCGCGGCCAACGCAGCAGGCGCCCTGGCGCCGGCGCCAGCCCGGGCGGCGGGTGCCGCGGCGCGCCTGCCGAGGCCTGCCCGGGCACGCCGCCTGCGCGCCACGCCTCACCTCCAAACCCGGCATACACCAGCGGCACCCCCGGGTCCGCCTTGAGCTCCAGCCCCGTGGCCCCCAGCAGCGCCTCAGGACGGATGGTCAGTCCGTCCACCTGGATCGCCTTGCCGCTGCCGACGCGGCGCACCCCCACAAACTGGCCCCGGCTGTCGTAGAACGACACAGTCTCAAGGTCGCGGGCCAGGATGGAGACGCCCCGGGGCGCGGCGCCGGGCGCGCCCCGCGCCGGGTCCTCCATGGGTAGAAAGGTGGCATACAGCTTGCTGTCGCCGCCTGCAGCGGCAGTGGACGACAGGGCGCGGGCGCACGTGGCAGCGCTGGGTAACAAGCTGCACAGCAGCCTGCTGGCTGGTGTGTGGTGGCCCGCGGGAGTGGCCAAGCGCAGTGGGCCGCCGTATTGGTGCCGCCGTATCGGTGGCAGCAGGCCAAGCAGAGGTGTCAGGCAAGGTGGCAGAGCCCCCCCACCGCCTCCCCCGGGGCGTCAGCCTCCCCCCGCCTCGCTCACCGCTGAGGCTGGCCATGGGCAGCTGGATGGGGGTGTCCGCAGGCGCCACCGCCGACCCCTCCACCCGCAGCTGCAGCGCGCTCATGGACCAGTCGGTCTGGTACGCGGTCACGCCGCCAAACCGCAGCGGCTGGTTCACGCTGACCGTCTTGGAGGCCAGCTGGTTGCCCTCCAGGTCCAGCACTGCAGGCGGGAGGGGCCCGGGGAGGGGAAGGGGCGTGTTGCTGCAGGGGTGCGGGCGCGCCGTGGGAGCCACGCGCCGCCGACGTTCCCTTGGTCGGCTCATGCCCACTCATGGCCCAACCAGCTCCGCAGCAGGCTCCGCCACCCGCTCACCCCGCCGGGCCTGCCCTTCACCTGCGGCGCCCGCCGACCTGCCCCCCACCACATGACACCACCACACCACCCCAGCCGCAGCCGCAGCGCACCCACCGCTGACGTCGCTGTAGAACTGGCGGATGGAGCCGTCGGGGCGCACATCGATGCGGAAGTCGTCGCAGCGCAGCAGAGCCTCCGCGCCGCGGGGGCTCCACGCCAGCGGGCTGGCCGACCGCAGCGCCGAGGCCACCAGCACCTCGCTGCCCTGCGGGATCATCACGCTGCCGGTGAAGCCGCCCACTGCGGCGCGGGTGGAGGGTGCGGCGCGGCCGGGGTGGCGGCGTGAGCGGGGCCGGGGAGCTCAGCGGCTAAAGGTGTGGGTCCCAAGCAGTGGCTGCAACAGGCACGCATGGCCGCGGCAGGCACAGCCGGCTGCTCACATGCGCCCGTCGCAAAGCCGGCCATGCACAGCAGCATGGAGGCGTGCACGCCGATGGGGCCCAGCTTGCCGGCCAGGCCCTTGAACCCGTACAGGCAGCCATCCTTGAGGAACACCTGCAGCAGCCGGGAGCCAGGGCAGCGCCCAGCAAGTGATTGATTGCTCGTGCGCTTGGCTTCGGCGGCACCAGCTCCCTCCGCCAGGCAGACCGCGGCACAGCCCCGCGGCGGCGCCGCACCTGGTACTGCTGGCCCTGCAGCGCGCGCCCCAGGTCTGCCAGCCGCGCGTTGGGCAGCAGCGAGGCCACCTGCAGGCGTGCCAGCGCGTCTGCGTCCCCCTTGAACCGCCACCGCTGCGCCACCTTGACCGCGGGCCACTGGTTGGTGGAGGTGCAGGCCGCCAGGCTGGCGCCCAGCAGCGCCAGCAGCAGCAGGAAGTAGTCGGCTGTGTAGATGTGGTCCAGCTGCAGCGCCCAGATGATGCGCCCCGTCAGGAAGCCCAGCACCCTGCGCCCCTCCTCGGGGTAGTTCTGCGGCGCAGGGGGGTGGGGGTGGGCCCAGGATGGGAGGGGGCAACAAGGCAGCCAGCGAGCCAGCAGTGCCGCGGGGCCCCCGGGCAAGCGCAGCAGCAGCGATGGGGGCAGGTGCAGCGCCCTGCCGCTACCAGCAGGCCGCAACAGTGCAGCAGGCCCTCTGCCCAGCCCAGCCCAGCCAGCAGCCCGTGCTGGCGTACCACACACCGCACCTGGGCATAGTAGCTGTAAGGCTCGCCCTGCTTGATGGTGGTGCCCACAGCCGACAGCGCCCCAATCACCGCCAGCTCCCCCAGCGCCAGCTTCAGGTTGGCCAGCTGCTTGACCGTGCGCTTGTACAGCTGGCGCAGCGGCCCCGGGCCCCGCGGCGGCGGCGGCGGCGGCGGCCGCCCGCTCGTGCTGGGCTGCTCGCCGTCGCTGTCCGACAGGCCGGGGGCTGCGGCCGGGGAGCCTGCAGCCGGGGCACAGCAGCAGGTGTGTGGCGAGGTGAGCTGAATGCGCTCTGACAAGGGGGTCTGGTCTGTACCAGCGTGGCGGCGCAGTCGGCGGCGGGCAGGCAGCGGGCAGGCACCTTCACCTTGCACGCTGCGGCAGGCGACCCGCAGATGCCGCCTGTGGCCTGCGGCCGGCTTGCTGGGCGCCCAGGGCAGCGCCATCCTGTGGCAAGGAGCTGCCAGCAGCAGAGCAGCGACAGCACGGCGCTGCTTGTGCAGTGCGGCGGCAGCCTCTGACTTTAAGCCTGGAGAGGCTGCACGCATACAGCGTTGCATGTCGGCAAAGCCGGCGAGGCGTGGGAGGGTGGCGAGGAGAAGGGGCTCTGTGGCCGGTCGGGCACCTGAACCACGTTGATGACGGTGTGCTGCGACAATGCAGTTGATCATCCGTGGCAGGGGAAGGCCTGTGTCGCCATCCACATCGATGTACGGCGGTACCGGCTCACAGGGACCCGAGTGCTTGTTGCGCCCGGCCGGTGGCACAGCGCACGCAGGGACCGTCGACCATGACTCCTTGACAGCTGCGGGGGAGCAGGCGAGCAAAGTCAGTCCACCATGTCGCAGCCCCAACCCAGCAGGGAGGAGTTGCTTCGGGCGTGGAAGGAACGCAAAGCGGCTGCTGCAGGGGCGGCCGGAGCGGCAGCAGCAGGGCTGCACCAGAAGAAACATGAAAACAGCTTGCAACAGCCGCAGCTGACCAAGGCTGTGCCCGGCCTGCCGCCGCGCCTAGCCCGCGGCGCGGCTCTGGACAAGGAAAACGCCGGCCACGCGCGGTTGGCGGGGCAGCAGCAAGGCAGGCCGGGCGCCGTAGGCGGGCCAGCGGCGGCGGCACCCGACAGCATCCGCAAGGCCTTTGCCCACGGCCAGCAGCAGCAGGACATGCTGCAGGAGTTTGACGCGCTGCAGGGCCGGCTGCAGGCTCTTAAGCGGGAGAGCATGCGGCCGTCCATCAGTGGCGCGGGCGGCCCCGCTCCTCCGTCGCGCCACCACTCTGCTCTGCATGCCACCGCCGCCTCACGACCACCCGAGGCCGCTGCAGCGCGGGCCACGCAACCAGCGGCACCAGCCCGGCCAGCCGAGCCTGACGGTGTGCAGACAGAGAAGGTCTCGGCAGCGCCGCTGGCCCAGCCGGCTGCTGCGGCAGCCCCCGCAGCCGCTGCGCCCCTGGAGCATGCCGAGGAGGACCTTGCTGCCCCGGCGCTGCCTGCCGCGCCAGCAGCCCACCTAGCCTTGCCGGCTGGAGGCGGCAGCACCGGCGTGGGAGGGCTGGCGGCGCGCCTTGAGTCCCTGAAGCGTGAAAGCGTGCGGCCCTCGCTGGTGGGCGCCGGCGCGCAGGGCGTGCAGTTTGAGGCGGCGGGCCAGATCGATGCGCAGGCGCTGACCCGGCTGGCCATGCAGCTGTTTGAGGACGACCAGTTCAAGCAGCTGTGCGAGAAGGGCATGAATGCGCAGCTGACGCGCAGCAAGGACGGCGCCACAGGCGAGTGCTCACCACGGGGCGTGCATGCCTGGGCAGCGCCGGCGCCGCTGTGCGCACTTGGGCTGGCCGCCCTTGATGCCTGGCCTGGGCGGTCTTGAGCCTGCTGGTGGTTGTTCGTGGCGCCTCCTCCTGCCCTGGCCCCCCCACCCCCACCCACACCCTGCCCATCCCGCTGCCTGGCGTGCTGCCCGCAGCCGAGACCAAGATCCAGGAGCTGGCGGGCATAGTGAAGCTGCTGCGCCGCGGCATGGGCCTCATGCAGACCAAGGCCGGCGAGTTCATTGCGGCGGCCTGCAAGTTTGAGAAGGAGGTTGGGCAGCAGGTGCGCGCTGGCGGCGACAGGCGCCACGGATGTTGGCTTTTGGAGTTTGGAGATGTTGCCGCTGTCTCATGCCGCAGCACTCCCATGCAGCAGGCATGTGGTCATGGCTTCTGACCCCACTGTGCATGTGGCTGGCTGGCTGCAGGTGGAGTCTGTGAAGCTGTCCAGCGAGAGCGATAAGCGGGGGATGCAGGTGGAGCTGGCCAACTCGCGTAAAGAGGCGGCGGCAGCTGCCGCTCAGCTCAAGCACGCGCTGGCCAACTGGCAGGTGGGCGTGGCTGGCTGCCAGCCTATCTTGCAGCAGGCGGTGCATGCACTGGTGCGCCTGCCAACTGTCCCATGTTTGTCTTGGTTCCCGCTGTCCCGTGGCACCCTCGCCCGCTGGCAGAAGGCACGGCAGCTAAGTGTTGTCGTGTGCTTGTGTGGGATGGCGGCTGGGGGCGCAGGGCGAGCTGGACATGCAGAAAGGGGAGACCAACCGGCTGAAGCGGGAGATGGAGCGGGTGGAGGGCGAGCGGGAGCGGCTGCGCGAGGAGGCGCGCAAGTGAGCCAGCGCCCCTGCCCCTGTGTTGCTGCTTGTGCCTGCCTCTGCCGCGCCGGCCTTTTCTTTGCGCTGCATGCCATGCAAGCTGCTGCGCTGCTTGGCAGATTGCGCCAAAGTGTATGCTGCTTCTCACTGCCTCGTGTGCCGGCTGGCGCCCCGCCGTGGCAGGCTGGAGGCCAGCAAGCAGTCGCTGGAGGCTGAGCTCAAGGAGATGCGCAAGGCGGCCAAGGAGGAGCTGAGCGGGCTGAAGCTGGAGCAGAACTGTGCGCGGCAGGCGGCGTACGAGATCCGCGAGGCCGCGGAGCGCAGGCAGCAGCAGCTATCCGAGGCGCTGGCGGCGGCTGAGGCGCGGCTGGAGGAGGTGGAGGAGCAGGCTGGCGCGGCGGCGCGAGCGGCAGAGGCGGCGCAGCGCGCGGCCGGCAAACTGGAGAAGCAGCTGGGGGAGCTGCAGGCGGAGCATAGGGAGCTGGGGGAGCAGCACCAGCAGGTGAGGCTGGGGGCTGGGGGGGTGCGTACGGCACAGGGGGAGCGGCATCCGCGCTGGCGTGTGTTGTTAGGACGCCGGCAGGTGGAGGGTTGTCGGTAGCGGCTGAGTCGCTGCACACACTGCCCGTTCTGTGGTGCAGCTGCAAGAGGAGCACGCCTCCAAGCAGCGCGACCACGACAAAGTGGTGGCGGACAGCGCGATGATGCTGGGCGACCTGCAGAGCTGGCAGGAGCGGGCAGAGGCGCTGCTGGCGGAGCTGGAGCGGGAGCGCCAGGCGCACGCCGCCACCCAGGCCAACTATGCGGCGGCGGTGGCGGGGCAGTCCAGCCTGGAGGAGCAGCAGGCGGCGCAGAAGGCGGCCGCCGAGGCGCTCCGGGCGGCCGCGCAGCAGCGGGAGGAGGTGCTGCTGGCGGAGAAGGCGCAGGTGGGGTGGCTGCGGTGGGAGCGCGGTGGGTGTGCCAGAGAGGGGGAGGATGTTTCATTGTGGGCTGCGTTTGCGCATGTTTATTGGGCAGCTGGGACCCTGACAATCGGTTGCTGCCGCTTTGCCGTGCCTGCCTGCCTGCAGGTCAAGGCAGCGCTGGCGGCGGCGAGCGCGGAGCGAGATGAGCTTCAAGCCATGGTGCAGCAGGCGGCGGCGGAGATGCAGGCGGTGCAGCAGAAGGCAGAGCAGGGCAGCTCGCAGCAGGTGGGCGACACAGGCATGCGCGCAGCCACCTCGCTGTGCTGGTACCCTGCGCCATGTCGTGCCTGCGCCGCCAGGGACATGTGCGGCATGCCCGGCTGGCATCTTGGGGCTCTTGGTTGGCGCGACATCCCTACCTGCCCTTGCCTGCCTGCCCACCTGCCGCAGGCCAGCCTCAAGGCGGAGGTGGCGCGCCTGGCGGCCCAGGTGGCGGACCTGAGCGCGGAGCTGGAGCAGGAGCAGGCGGCACGGTCGGCTGCGGTGCGTGAGGCCAAGGAGAAGGCGGACAGGCTGGAGCGGCTGGAGAGTGAGTGGGCTGGGTGTGGTGCGGCGGTGGCTTGGCAGTGCTGGGCAGTGTAATGGGCTTGGCCCCGTTCAGGCGCCTGCCCCTGCCGCTGGCTCCCACCCCTTGGGAAGGCAGCGCAAGGCTCAGTAGGGGCCCCACCTCTGCCGCATGTGTGGGCGCCGCCGCCCGTCACCGCCACGTGCCCGCCCCGCCCGCCCGTGGCCCCTGCAGGCGAGCTGGAGGCGCTGCAGGAGTGCACCATCGGGCTGGGGGCGGGTGACCAGAAGGAGATGCTGACGCGCATGCTGGGCAAGATTGCGGCGCTGGAGGCGGCGGTGGCGGCGGCGGAGGCGCGGCGCCGCGAGTGCCACAACCAGCTGGTGGAGCTCAAGGGCAACGTGAGGAGGGCCCCTTTTTGGGGGGGGTGGCAAGTTGCAGGCTGGGTTGGGGCGTGGTGGGGTGGGTGGGGTGGGTTGGGGCTGGCTGCCGTGCCGTCTCCTCTTCTTGCTGGCTGGGGTGGCTCCATGCTTGCACTGTTCTGTCAAGGCAGGCTGAGCTCCATGCCTGCCCGCACCGCATGCCCGTGCCCCCGCCCGCCCGCAGATCCGCGTGTTCTGCCGCATACGCCCCAACCCGCGGTCGGCGGTGCAGTGCCTGCCCGACGGCCTCAGCGTGCGGCTGGCGGGGCCCGACGGCAAGGAGCATTCCTTTGGCTACGACAGGGTGTTCAGGCCGGAGGCCTCGCAGGTGGGCGGGGCGGGTGCCAAGGGGGGTAGAGGGAGGAGGGAGGGGACTGATGCCGCACGCCAAGCAGTGACGTCCTGGTGGGCGGTGGAGCTGGCGGGAAGGGCGCTGGGAGAGGGAGAGATGGAGCGACCGCCCTCCATGGCACCAGCCCTTCAGCTGTGCCGTGCCTGCTCCTGTTGCGCCTCCCCCACCAACCCTCCCCCCCAGGCCGCCGTGTTTGAGGAGGTCAGCGACCTGGTGCAGAGCGCGCTGGACGGATTCAAGGTCTGCCTGTTCAGCTACGGGCAGACGGGGGCGGGCAAGACCCACACCATGCAGGGCAGCAGGTCGTACGAGGGGCAGGGCATCATACCGCGCGCCATCTCCAAGGTAGGGCCGTGCCCGCGGCGCGCTTACCCGCCCGCAACCGCCTCGTGCTGGCCCGCCGCTGCTGGCCTGCTGCAGCGGAGCGTGCGGCACAGGCGCAGGGGGAAGGCGAGCAGGCACCTCCGCTCCCTTGCGCCAATGCCCCACGCCCCTGACCCCCTACCCCTGGCCCCTGCCCTGCCCTGCCCTGCCCTGCCCTGCCCCCCCTCAGATCCTGGAATCTGTGGGGAAGCTGCGGGACCAGGGGTGGGAGTACCGGCTGGAGGCCTCCTTCATCGAGGTGTACAACGAGCAGCTGCGAGACCTGCTGGCAGACACGGCGCCGGGCAGGCGGGAGGCCGGCAAGATACAGGGTGCGCGCGGGGCTGGGTGCTGGGGGCGGGTGGGCGGGGAGGTGGAGCGGCCGCGCACCGCGTGCACGCTCCCAAGAGGCTGCCGGTGGTGCTGGTGCGGCGATGGGCCACACAGCTCTGCGCCCGCTCCGCCTCCCACCGTCATGGCTGGGCCCCCCTCCTCCGTGTTTTTGCAGAGAACAACGCCATCCAGCACCAGGCCAACGGCGGGCACACGGTGGTGCTGGGCGCGCAGCGGCTGGCGATTGAGAGCAAGGCGGATGCAGAGGCGATCACGCGCAAGGCGGCGGCGGTGCGGGCGGTGGAGGCCACAGCCATGAACGCAGTCTCCTCGCGCAGCCACTCGGGTGGGGCCCGGGGCCTGCGCTGTGTGCTGGAGCAGGCACCGGGCCGGGCCTGCCGGCATCCCTCCCAGGATGGCTGCTGCTTGCGCTCGTGCTGCCCCGCGCTGTGGTCACCCCTCCCCTCCCTGCGTCTTCCCATCCTCGCCCCCCGCAGTCTTCATGCTGTACATCACGGGGCGGCACGAGGCCAGCAGCACGGTGCTGCAGGGCAGCCTCAACCTGGTGGACCTGGCGGGCAGGTGGGGCAGGCGGCGGCGCGGGCGTGTGTGGCCTGGGTGCACGAGGGGGGAGTTGGGAGGGAAGGGCGGCACTGCAGCGCGCAGGCTGGTGCGCAGCCGGGCGACCACCTCGCCACCAGCCGGCCGCTGCTGCGCTGCGCGCTCCTCGCTCACAGCCCCGGCCTCCCCCCCCCCCGCCTGCCCCCGCCCCCTTGCGTGCAGCGAGCGGCTGGCGCGCAGCCATGCGGAGGGTCAGCGCGCCAAGGAGGCGTGCAACATCAACAAGAGCCTGTCCAGCCTGGGCGACGTGTTCCAGGCGCTGGCCACCCGCAGCCCCCACATACCCTACCGCAACTCCAAGCTCACACACCTGCTGCAGCCCTGCCTGGGGGGCAGCGGCAAGACGCTCATGTTTGTCAACGTCAACCCAGAGCCGGAGTCGGTGCAGGTGCGGCGGCGGGGGGCGGGGTGGGGCCTGTTTGCGCGGGAGCTCCCGCCGGCGGGGCCGGGGCCTGCCGATGGGGCAGACCAGCCCCGCCCCGGCCTGGCCGGCCTGGCGCCACCTGGCGCCACCTGGCGCCTCGGCCGCAGCGCCACCACAGCGCACAGGGCGCAGGGCACCACTGAAGCTGCCTGCCTTGCCTCCCCGTCCGCAGGAGTCACTATGCTCCCTGCGCTTTGCCGCCAAGGTCAACCAGTGCGAGACGGCGGCCAAGGGCGGCGCCCAGCGCCACGTCACCACCGCAGAGTGGGGCGGCGCGGGGATGCTGGTGAGGCGGGGCGGTGTGGGGGTGGGGGTGGG